GTCTTAGTTTCAGCCAGGTTAGGAGAAAAATAACAGTCAAAAACTTTGTTTTCGTGAATGAAAATCAGTTTACCTGACGCTCTAGCCAAAATTACACACTGAATTATTATGATCTTACCTTTTCTGAATCTAAACGACTAATTGTTTCAGTGATCTGTGCCTGGTTATCCATAAAAACAATTTCAATAACTACAAAATAGTCAAAAACACGAGCAACTGAACCACAAGCTACACACAGAATGAAGCCGAGCGCGCGCTTTGACTTTGATTCTTTGACCTGACTGGAAAGTGTGACTGTTGACTGAAAAAGAGACCGGAAATGCTCAACCTAACGCATGCGTAGACGTTTTGCCGCGGTGTTGTCAAGACCGCAGAATCAACCTCTGGTGGAACCCAGTCTTGTACTCGGTCAAACTGAGTCTTGGATCAGAGTTCGTGCTTGATCGTGGTGTCGCGATCGGAAGATGGTTGTAAATTCTCTTCTACAAGAGGTTAGTTCGCCAGCGCAAGTTTGCTTCTTTCCCAGTCACTTTTGGATTAATAGTTGGGTGCGTGATAGTTAATGTTTATTGCATGTTGTTCCCAACGAAACAAAAAGAATTTTAGAATATTAATCGTGTACCTCGATCAAGGAATATTATAGGCTGTTTTTTTTCCGTTCCTTTAAATGGACATTCGTAAAACGTAGAGTTCAAAAGTGAGCCTAGTTCGTTTTGCTAATACGTTAACGGTATATTATCAGGTCGTTCAAGTATATTTAACGCTGGCTTCAATAGGTCGTTATTTGGTGTTAGGTGAAGGAACACCTTGGGTGTTGTAATATCAGCTGTAATATCCCTTGTTTAGTGCCAAGCATATCGTAGGGGAGGAAGGGTAGTATACTATAGCCAGTTCGTATCACTTCCCTTAAAATGCAATCTATAATGTTTACACCAGGTTTTCTGGGAATAATGTATCCTGCAGGGTGCAAAGAAAATCATTTTTACAGCTTGCCTTTCGGGCAAGCTGATGCTAGCATTTACTAGCCCAGTCATCATTTCAACTAGCCCCAAAAGCTTTTTGACAAGCAGAATTGATTTCACAGTTCTTGTGTTATTCAAATTCCTCAAAACACATCACTTGCCCGTCGGGCAAGATAAAAACAGAATTTACTAGCCTGATAGCTAAATCCACTAGCCCCGGGCTCGCTATCAGACACTACTTTCTTTGCATGCTGTCCTGGGACCCCACTAAGGTCTCATAGATATTTTTCCTATATTTTTTCCTTTTTTTGTCTTTTCTTTTCTTTTCTGTCTTTCATTTTTATTTTCCTTTTTTTTAGTTGTGGTGGGCTAAGAGGCCTTTTTGCATTGATTATGTGACAAATAATAATTTAATTATTAAGACTTGAAGCTAGAGCTATATAATTTTCAGAGATAAAAAGAATTGACTTTTAGGGACTGGTCATTATTTATCGGGAGGGGGGGCTGGTGCAATATAAAATATGCCATGCTTGATTTTTGCTGACCTCCCCTTTTACTTTAACATGATTTTTGCTGACCCCAATCCCCCCTTGTCCTCTGGCATGCATGAAACAAAAAGTATGTATTTATCAAGTCACCATGTCCAACTGATAGACATTCTATTTAAAGCTACCTTAAATTTGGATTTGAGTTGCTCTTCGCCCAGACCGTGTGTAGACAATTGTCGTATTGACATTAAAGTTCTTGGTGCTCTCAATCATTTTTTCTTCTTCAGTCGACTCCTCTTCCTCTTCCGCTTCTTTGTACTCATTTCTCCAAAGCAGGGAAACTGCTTCCAGGGCACAACCACCCAAAAACATTTGATGAAAAACTTATGGGCAAACTTATAAAAGTTAAAGAAAGGGTGATAGAAATAGAAGAAAGCCTTAAGGAAAAGTTAGAGAAGACATCAAATATGTTCCAATAACCCCCCCATGTGAATGCAAAAACCAAAAAGCGTTCTCCGAAAGAGAACCGAAGGAAAGCCAAAAGAAGGAAAGTTTCAAGAAAAGCTGCCAACATACAGAAAGTGCGAGAGTTTATTTCCAATGCTTCTGCATCTGAAGTAATTGAAATCCAAAACCTAAAATTGGAAGTTCTATCTACATTATCATTGTGTCAAGTAAAGTATCTACAACTTATGTATGAAGAAAGACAACTATCTACTGAAGCTGTAAACTTGATTAGTGAATATGTAGACTATTTTCCAAGAAAAGAAAACACTAACCTAGAACCAGATAATGCTCGTGATGATGACAGTAAT